ACAAAAGCTGTGACATTGAAAACAAAGTTGCCTCTTTAAATGAATTGTTCAGCTGCTTCTAGAGGCTGTGAAGTTATGTAGGAATAAAGGCCCATCTTTGTCTTTGGAAACCTCGGGAACTCTGGTAATTGGAAGGAACTAGAAAGGTATTTTTTGTTCCTCGCGTGTGCACTCGGGCACAGGACACTTACTTCTATCACTGTCTTCTCACTAGACAACATGAAGCTATGTCTCTACTGGATGAGTGTTGACTTGGAAAGAGAGAAAAAATTGTGTCCCATTTCATAACCATCCCAGGCACCTCCTGTAGGAGAGCTTAATGAAAGAGGCTCTCAGACATGGTGGAATCAGCAAATTTCACTCTTGAACCACCCTTGGAAAAAAAATTACATACAGGCATAAATTGGGGCCAATTGGCTCAAAATGAACATTTCCAGAATGTATAGGTCAGGCTCTAGGAAGTGTAACAGAGCTTTCTTTCCACAGTTAGTTTGGCAAAGCCCGTTTTCTTGTCTTCTTTTTTTTTAATGTTTATTTATTTTTGAGAGACAGAGCACCAGCAGGGGAATGTCAGAGAGAGAGGGAGACGCAGAATCCGAAGCAGGCTCCAGGCTCTGAGCTGTCAGCACAGAGCCCGACGTGGGGCTCAAACCCACAAACTGTGGCATCATGACCTGAGCCGAATTCGGACGGATGCTTAACCAGCTGAGCCACCCAGGCGCCCCAGCAAGTCTGTTTTCTAACAGAAAGATGGCCGTGCCCCCACCGTGCTGTCGCCCCTGTGACCATCACATCAGAAAACGTGCTTCTCAGGCGTCTTTTCCATCGGTCGGAATATGCTGCCTGTCGGAGTACCACTCAAAACTTCAGTTCATGTTATTCTGTTTGCATAACTGGAATATTTATGCCAAGAACATTACAAAACACTCTCCTTCTTTCCATAATATCAGAGTTGCCCGGAGCCACATAAAGGCCGTTGCCACTACCCAGGAATGTCAGTGATGGATTTCAACATTTTTACCACTCACATTGGGTGATCTGAGTCATTATGCTCTCAGAAATGAAGAAAGACTGAGCCATCCACGTGCCCATGTTATCTGTTCCTAATTCCGTTTTCTGTTCTGGCTCATCTTCCAACTAAAATGTTTGGAAGTTTCTGGGGCAAAATACTTGTGAAAATTAGCATATGTGGTCAGATTTCAACTATGAAAAACATACATTAAAAAAACCCTGTTAGCAACATGCTTTATCCTATAATTCAAAGGAGATATATTGCCTTATAAGTACTCCTTTCTGGCTGGTGAGATTCACAATTGTGGAAAAAAATGGATACAATTTTCTAAATTCCCCCTGATCATCATGATGTAAAAAACTAAAACTTAGAAGGAAGCACAGTAAAGCGTTCACTGTGTTTTTCTCTTTGTGGCATGACTATTTATGATTTCTTTTCTACTTTTAACTTTTTGTATATTCTGTATTTTCCCATGACAAGAATATGAAATTTTATTGAAAGACATAAAACTTTATTTTAAACACTTTGTAGAAACATGGCTTCCCATCACCAGCAGAATAAACCGACGTCTCAGCTGGAGACTAACGGGTTTCCACGAATGAGCTCCGACCTGCCTGCCCACAACTTCGTTTTTCACTTTTCATTACTACCCTTCACACACTTTTTATTTCAGTAAAAATTAATTCTGTCTTTTCCCAAACAGACGTTCAACTTTCTTGACTCTGCATAGTTGTTTCTTCTGTTTCCAGACTTTCCTCCGTGTCTGCTCCTCCACGGCTTTCTTTCAGTGGGCTTTTCCTGGAGGAAACATCTTCCCTTATGCACAATTCCCACACACCTCCTCTCTTTATTCCGTGCAGAGCTAATTATGCAGGAATCACCTCAGCTAGATGGCACCCTCCCTGTCTTTCTTTCTTCATTCCTTCATGTCCTCTCCCCCTTCCTTGTTTCCTCTTTTTAAATAGATCATTCGGTCATGTTTTCTCTGAATTTCTCTTTTGCTTATTACCTCCAAATGTACACTCTTAGTTTGGGAGTCCTGAAACATTCAAGACGGAGACTCGGACACATGGTAAATGAGTTTGGAGCCGAAGGGATGATTGTATCAGCTGGCCTCAGCAAGCCTCATGTATTATCTTGTCTCATTAGTCATGGAGAAGCGTGGTGAGTGGGAAGACAGAAAGGAGAAGTTATCGGGAGGAATGAGGCTTGCACTGGCTGCCAGCTTTTGAACCCAAGTTTGGATCAGATCGAATTTAAGTTTCCTGCCAGGCCCGATCCCTTCAGGCTAGCTTTCCGTAACCTGCTGGCGTGTGGCCCTTGTACGTGTTCAGCCCTGTGATAAATGGTCATCCGGCGAATGGCCGTTCTCACCGCTGTGCTCGAAAAGCCAGTGTTTTTCTCCTAGTGTTCACAGATTCCCCTCCACCTTTGGGGTATTTATTCTCTGTCTCTTCCTTCTTTCTTCCACCCAGTTGCCTCATAACCTACCTATCTTCCTCATTAACGCATTGCCTTTTAAAATTTAATCTCCAAAATGCAAATTGACTCTCACCCATTGTCAGAAAATCCCTTGATGCTGCTATCTTGAGTATTTTACAGACAAAGGAACGAGGGATATGAGTACACAAGCCTTCGATTTATTCTTTACTAGAGAGACTCAAGATGATTGCCTGATTGTTTTCCGAAGACAGTGAAGCAAAAGAATTCAGTTAATAGGGTATTCGGTAAATATGACATGTAGGTTCTGGGGAGTTAGAAACATCTGCATGATTTGTGAGTATTTTTTTTTAACTTTTCCTTCACCTCTTTGCTTTTTCCTGTGAGCCCTTCATTCATAACTAATACATTAATGAATTCTGTCAGCAGTTCTGGGGTATCTGCTTTTCACCAGACACTATGCTCACCACTAGGAGCTCAGAGATGAACGAGGAGCCCCGGCGATGGAGGGGAGGCAGACAGGTCAACAGTCCAGCAGGAAAAATCCGCAAGAGACGTGGGTGCAAGGCACCACTAAGAAACCAAAAACGAACTCTTCTGCAGGCTCGAGACTTCCCGAGACCTCTCAGACGCCGTTTTATAAGAGGACAAACTCTGGACGAGCAGACTCTTGCGTTTATTTCAGGAACAACAGCGCGGCCCGTTGTGCCAATCCTGTTTGGACATCTGGGAAAATAAACGTGATGTCTGTAAGGTTTCCCCGTAACCTTGAAATGTGTTTTCTGAGTTATGACACCAGAGAAAATGTAGAAAAAACCCTTGATCCAGAAGGAATTGAGACCAGTGCTTCACGTCCCCACCCCCCACCTCCCCTGCCCACCCACCCGCTTCCCCAGTCCCAGCCCCCTCAGCTATGCTGACGTCAGTGAGGACCAGCGTTCCCCCTGATTTCGGTCAAGACGAGGTCCAAATTCTCTCCTCTGAAGGAATGAGGTGTCTTTCGATAGAATTGAGTCCGAACGCCAGTGTTCACACTCGATGCCCAGCCCCTGCCCGGTGGCCATCGGTCACCTGGGCGCCTCCATCCAGGGTCTTACCACACCTCTGATGCACGTTCGATGAGCTACCCCTGGTGTTTATTCAGCAACAGACAAAAGGTAAAGCCAGTAAGGCATCGAGAGCAGCACTTGCCCTTACTGAATGTTCTGGACACGGACAGCACGTGGGTCATTTCACAGGTTCGCACTGGCCGGCCGTCTGTCGCGTGGCCAGCGGATAGGCAAGCAGTCAAAGGAAAACCAAAGTGTGGTGACGGATAAAATGTGCCCTCAGCCAACGTTTAGCAACTGTGAATTTCGCCCTCTAGGGTTTGCACTTCTCTCGCTGTTTTATTTTCCTAAGGGTAAGGGAGGTGGGTGGGTCGGGGAGAGGGGGCCGGAGGATTGTAAGACGTTCAACCAGGTCTCCCCCTGGGGATGTCTCCTGTCTTCCAGACGAGCACCTGTTACACAGCCCGCGTGAGCAGCACTCCGCAGGTCACAGAAGAGGAGTGAGAGGAAGGCAGGGGAGGGGAAGGGAGAGAAAGGGAAGAAGAGAGAAAAAACAGGTGAGCACCCTGGGGAGACCATTCAGGGTGGCTTTTGTTTTTGAAGTTCAAACTATCTACGAATTTGAATGGAAGGTGGAGGGAAAGGGATTGGAAGAGAGTAAGAAATGTGTAGGAGATACTGACGGAGAATTCCAGTCCTGCGCAAAGTAAATCATTGGATGCTGCCACTGTTTTCACAGAGCCCCTGTTCCAGGAAGGCCACCTGCCAATAAACCGGGCACAGACCCGCACAGACCAGAAGAGAAGCATACACTCCCTTCTTCGCGATCTTTGTTCTCTCCTCCCCTTGAGCTTTCTCTCCTCAAAAACTAAGGAACCCAAGGAGATACCAACAGCACGTATTTCAAATCAAAGACTCAAAAACTGAACTCTCCCTTCCAGCTTTATTCTAGATCTTGCTTCTTTCGTTTTGACAGAAACTAATAAGACTCTAGCTACGGATGCACAGCTTTTCATTTACTCACATCTCGTTACATTTGATTTTAAGTACGTTTTTCTTAAAATGAGACCGCATCTAGAAGTCCTACTCACTTCTGACTTTTTACCGAGTCAGCCTATTTCTCCTCTCAAACACCGCAAACAGAAATTGTCTAGTAAATTCCAGTCACTTTTTCTTTCCAGAATAAAAAAAAAAAAGCCCTGGTTTTCATCTTACGAAGACAGGAAGCATTTCCTGGAGCTTAATCACTGTTTTGATTTGCAAAATTGGAAAGGTTGAGAGAAATTAGTAAAGTAGGTTGTATCATCCTACTTTGGATTTGGAATTTTTGGACAGGGTCCTGCTGCCATTCGGATGAAAGCAGTCATGAGTCAAGCTGTGGGTGACCTAAACCAACGCTGTCACCCTATAAAAGTCAGGGCTCCATTCGGCGGACCCAGGAGAAGGTAGGCAGAGAGGAAAGCTCTAAGACGACAAAGAGCCAAGGAGAGCCAGTGGAAATGCAGAATCTTCCGGCTCTACTGCTGCTCTGTGTGGCCGTGTGCTCAGCCTATCCAGTGGACAGAGCCGCAGAGGACAAGGACAGCAACATGGACCTCCTTCAGGTAATTGATGGACGCATCTCCCACAGGCATTGGCAGGGCCAAGTGGGAACACCACCCCTGCTTTCCATTCATAAACACACGGGATGCTTCGGGCTCACTGTGGAGGAGAAGTTCAGGGACAGGAGGTCAGGAAGTGTGGGATGTGGAGGGGTCTCCCCAGCGTACTGTGTCTCCTTTCATGCAGGAGCAAACAGAGGCCAGAAACCTTAGGTGTTTGCCTAAGATCCTGACCCCCTGGGAACAGCAGCACTGGGGCTCGAGGGGCAGGAGTACAAGAGGAGGGTGTAATTAAATGTATCTTGCAATGGAACTTCTTTAGGTATTTTAATCCAGGGGAAGTTAAGCTAGCTATTTACATGGCTTACGGTGTCGTGTTCGGACCCAGAGATCTGTCCAACTTTCTCTCGTAAGTCAGGTCCCCGGGGGAAGCACGAAGTAGAAAGTTGAAGGGCTTGAATAAGTGTAACTGAAACACAAATATGCCCAAAGAAGCCTTTTGGCTTTGTGTTTCTGCCTTAAGTTCATTAGATATTGGTCTCAGCTTCCACGCCATTGTCATTGCTTGGGGAGTAGACTAAGCTCCAGACGTTAGTTGGTTACAGAGACAAAACAGACGCAGGGAAGAATCTGAATTGAAGGGTGGAAGGGAATATGACACTTATTCTGATTTTAGCCACTGGAGGAATACCGGAACTAGATGAGGGCTGCAGCTGCAATTTAGCACGAAAGGCTAAAAATCATGACTGTACTTACTACCCTACTAGCAATACCTGGAGAACTACTACGACCTCGCCAAGGATGTGAAACAGTTCGTCAGAAGAAGTGACAGCGGACCTGTCGTTAAGAAAATCCGAGAAATGCAGAAGTTCCTCGGGTTGGAGGTGACGGGGAAGCTGGACCCTGACACTCTGGCGATGATACGCAGGCCCCGGTGCGGCGTTCCCGACGTGGGCCAGTTCACCACCTTCCCTGGCCTGCCGAAGTGGAGGAAAACACACCTCACCTACAGGTAACGGGTCCAAAGAGGTGTTCACATCACACTGCGATTTTACCAAGTACCATCGCAGGAGAAAATGATCTCTTCAATTTTTTTCTTAAAGGATTGTGAATTATACACTGGATTTGCCGAGAGAGGCTGTTGACTCTGCCTTTGAGAAGGCTCTGAAAGCCTGGGAGGAGGTGACACCACTTACTTTCTCCAAGATTTACGAAGGAGAAGCTGACATAATGATCTTTTTTGCAGTTAGAGGTAAAAACCAAAAACAATATGAAATGCATCCATTTATTTAGTGCTGTTGTGGGGGGTGGGGGTAGGAAGACTCCAAAGGTGTTTTAATTACCTGTCTTTCAAATAAAAACACTTTCTCCGTCAGATCATGGAGACTTTATCCCTTTTGATGGACCTGGAAATATTTTGGGTCATGCCTACGCGCCGGGGCCCGGCATTAATGGAGACGCTCACTTTGACGATGATGAGCAGTGGACAAAGGATACATCAGGTGAGTCGCACATCTCTCAGAATGATTTGGGTGGGTTATTTTTGTTGTTTTTTTTAGATTTAGAAAATTCTGAGAGGCTACAAATCTTCGAGAAGTGGTGTGTTCTAGATTTCCCAAATGGCTCAAGAAATAGAATGTATTTTTGTTTTGATCGTTATTGAAAACACTTTCAGATGTCTAAAAAATTTATTCTCTGTCTTGGTAAGCATGCTATGGAGGCATCGTTGAAGTACTTCTTTGAGGACGATGGTTCTAGTATGACCTTAGGACCATCCTTAAGAGTATTTTCTCATTGCGTTGAATTGCAGATATCCAAGGGACCACGTGTTGCCTTGCCTCTGTGCTAACATGGGCCCTTGACAGTGCTTATATCCAAATTGGGGGAAATGTCTTCTATACTCTTCAAAATGGAGATGGGAGTTAAATTCCAGAAACTGAGGTCCCCGTTTAGGTTTTTCTGGTAAATCAGCCTTTTACTCTCTCTAGGTTAAGAGGAGTTTTTAGGGACTTGTTCTAAAGGGAGACACTAGCCCCCAAATACAATGCCCAATTTTTTTAGGTAGGATGGTATTTCTCAGTTCATAGCTGTATACTTTGAGGACTGACTTCCAACGTTTTCAAACAACTGGCTAAAACAAATAATACTAGCCTCTGAAATTTTCTGGGATTTATAATCATAATGCAAACAGAATATCTATAGGGAGTACAAATGTGAGGTTAGTGCCGGATAAATTTCTTTGGTTTGATCGAAGTAACAACTTCTTCCTGCAAAGTCACAAATGAGGACTTTAGTAGGATCACAAGTTACACAGATAATGCTCGCAAAAGTAAACTTCGCGTGTCAAACGTAATTACCCAACAATTTCTAATGTCAGCATCCTGGGTTTTTTTTTTTTTAATAATACATGGAAAAAGAAAATATGAATGCAGCTAGTGTTCGCATGGTCAAAGTCTCTTTTGTGACAAATGCTGGGCATGATTAGGCATGCTATGTTTTAGACCAATCTTAACAAGCCCTATGACAATTATCATTACTAATATTTCCAGACCCAATGTGTACTTAATAATGATCCTGGGGTTGAAAAATTATGCAGGCAACAGTCTGCATACAAAAGTATGATTGTTTAGGGTTTCAGATTTGAGTTGAATAAATTGTGATTCCTTTAACTGAGACTATAACTGGCAAACATTAATATGTTGAGACAGTGTTTAGCTTTTCATTGACAAATGAAGAGAAATATTTATGAATGTGCTAAACAAGTGGGTCGGTTCCCTTCTGGAGTACGAGAAAGAGGACCTTGTTTTCATGAAGTAAATAGGCTTCTGAGGTGGGAGAGGGCAGTAGGTGGACACACTGGATGTTTTGTCTCGAAGACTGATTTTGAGAATGAGAAACATTAAAAAACGCTAGGCTTTCCGTTAAGTGTGTTATCAATCGATCAGTCAACCAAAAAACAAGGCAAAGAAGGCCCTCTGTGCTTCCAGTAAGTAAGCCAATAAAATACAGCTGACTTGTGTGATGTACATGTGCTTAAGGGATTAGGAACTATTATTTATGATTTCTTAAATAGGGACCAACTTATTCCTCGTTGCTGCTCATGAACTCGGCCATTCCCTGGGTCTCTATCACTCGGCCGACCCCACAGCTTTGATGTATCCCGTCTACAACCCACGCACAGACCTGACCCGCTTCCGCCTTGCCCAAGATGATGTGAACGGCATCCAGTCCCTGTATGGTGAGTGATGCTCGAAAAAGGAGGCATTGGAGCTTTGCAGCCATGGTCTTCGGGAAAGCTTTAAAATGCTGCACAAAGCATTTGCAATTCGTCTCAATGCACTCAGAGAGTGTTTGGGAAGCATAGAAATCGACAGAAGCATCGCATTTCGCCTCATGTTTGATCCCCCACATCTGTTTCCTTTAGGACCTCCCCCTATGTCATCCCCTGATGGCCCCGCGGGGCCCACGGAATCTGTGCCTCCAGAACCTGGGACGCCAGCCACGTGCGATCCTGCTTTGTCCTTCGATGCCGTCAGCTCTCTGAGGGGAGAAATCCTGTTCTTTAAAGACAGGTCAGACCAGAAGATTCTATTTCCCTATCTATTCTTTTGACGTACATTCTTGTCCTCTCCTTGTTGTTCCTATAAGTCACGCTTGCTTTTCAAAAGTCCAGCTTCAGAATCACAACTTTATCTTCACCTCCTTTAAAAATGGAGTCAGGAGAGTGTTACATTGAATCAATAATTTCCTGTCTGCCGGATACACATGCACTTAAGAGAACATTCAAGCTGCACAAACAGGCAGAAAGTAGAAAGCACGTCTCCCTCACCACACTAATCTGGGTTCCCTAGGGTATCCCCGTACTCAAGGACCCCTGTACATCCTTCCAGAAGGTTTCCATGCATACACCAAAAAACACTTGCAGACACAGATACGCACATGCACACACCGGTCTGTCTTTTCAGAAATGTAGACCACGGGGCACCTGGATGGCTCAGTTGGTTAAGTGTCTGGCTTTGGTTCAGGTCGTGATCTTACGGTTCGTGGGTTCGAGCCCCAAGTTAGGCTTTGTGCTGACAGCTCAGAGCCTGGAGCCTGCTTCGGAGTCTGTGTCTCTCTCTCTCTCTCTCAAAAATACATAAACATTAAAAATAAAAGAAAAAAGAAAATGTAAGCCATGTTGTCGCACACACAGAAGTGTGCGTGAATTGTAGGTATTTAGAGGTTACACTTGGCTAATTAATTTCGCCGCAGGATCACTTTTCTTTGCCAGAAGGTCTGGTGCAGGCTTCCCGGGAGAAAGAAAACATATTTTCCCATTGGAAGTACACCTAATTTCTGCCTGTCATGCAGCCAGAGGATGAGAGAATGCGGGAAGATGGGTGAGGCGGGTCAATGAGAAAAATGTGCTACAGGCGAAGGTCTGGGTTTCAGTTTTCATTTCTTTTTATTCATATTGCAGACATTTTTGGCGCAAATCCCTCAGGACGCCTGAACCTGGGTTTTATTTGATCTCCTCGTTTTGGCCATCTCTACCTTCGGGCTTGGATGCCGCATACGAAGAGACTAGCAAGGATATCGTTTTCACTTTCAAAGGTAATTCTTATACGATAATTTCTCTAACTTGTTGAAATAAACCCTTTCACAGGAAAATTGAATAGGACTTTGATTTTCTCTACTATCACAAATTGTGTCTACATTGTTGCTCTCAGGCAACTAAGAACTAACTGGAAGGGATGTTATTTTCTTTGTTTTACAAATGATAGAAATGAACATAGCAACATACATGGCTCAGAGTTGTAAATTCCCCTCTTTGATTTGTGTTCATTCATTCAATCCACACATTGTTGTTCAATGCCCACTTTGAGCCGGGGATTACATTTTTACTACGAAAACCAAAGGCGCTAACAAGTATTTCTAAAATTCAAAGGCTTAACTTTTACAAATTCAATGCGTTTGTAAGTAATTAGGTAAATAATGTAGAAATAATGAAGTAATTCCGTGAGTTATTTTTCTTAACAGGAAACCAGTTCTGGGCCATCAGAGGAACCGAGGTACAAGCAGGTTATCCGAAAGGCATCCACACCCTGGGTTTTCCTCCGAGCGTAACGAAAATAGATGCTGCTCTTTTTGATAAGGAAAAGGAGAAAACGTACTTCTTTGTAGAGGACAAATACTGGCGGTAAGACGCGGCTGGAATGACTCTGTATGGAGCCTGATTAGGGACGTTAGGTTCTTTCCCTGAGGGACCCCCACCTCACTCTCAGCCCTGCTTCCTCGCCTCCCACTGAGGAGGGGATGGATATATCGCCATTTCTTTTCCAACGCGCAGCAGCGCTTGGTAATCGGTATTTTGCTGCCCTGCTCTTGAGCCTATCATGGACCTTCCTCTGCTGTTGCTCCATCTGGCTTGCTGGACGCTTTTCTCCTTTTGCTCCTCCCCCCAGCTCCACTTCCCCCTAAAGCCCTGCTGAGTCCGCCGCCGCCAGCTTCCCCTTCTTGGACCTTTCCTGCCGGACTCCAAACCAAGATGGGTTTGAAAGAAGCCTCAGGAATCCAGGCCACAGTTTAGCATTCCTTTCCTGTGGATTCATTGCCTCCCTGGGTGTTTGTCTCATCTTCCCAAATTTACCCTATGATTGTGAAGGGCTTCCCTTAAGCTCCACCCCTCATTAGTGCTGCCTGTTTAAGTTTTATGGATAGAACCCAGGACTCACACAGAGGCTGATTCCTGGGCCGACCGCCCACACAACTGGGCAGACCAACCAAGGTCCAGCCACTGAGTCCAAAACACATTCACGGTGATTTCCTTCTCGCCACTCTGCCTTTTCCTAACAGGCTGCCGTAGGAAATCCAGATGTGCAGGGTGGGGAGGACGTATAAGAGTCAAGCATGCTAGAGAACTTGAGATGTGTATTTGAGATAAATGAGCCAATTCGCTTTATGTACCTGTTCGTACATACCTTCGTGTCTTTGTGGTTGAAAGACGATTAAGGTTCTTTCTGTCCAGGCTTAAGAAATACGGTAACAAACATCTTCCAGATCGGGCTGTTGACTCTGGTCCTGGTGGAGACACAGCTCTAAGAACTAAGTGTGCAGTTCCATTCAAGTCACATATTTCTGTAGTGCTAAACACGTTTGACATTTATTTGCAGTACTTAGAAAGTTTACTAGAATTCCACATGAAACCAAACATGACTTAAGAATGTGGGTAACGTGGCCTCCGTGCAATGCTGAGCTGTGTTTCTTTGACTGGATGCAGATTTGATGAGAAGATACAGTCCATGGAGCCAGACTTTCCCAAGAAAATAGCAGACGACTTTCCAGGGGTTGACTCGAAGGTTGATGCTGCTTTTGAAGCATTTGGTAAGAGGGTACTTGCTCCGTTGGCAACGGGCCACTCGGTGTCACAGGGAAGGGGGCAGCTGGATTGATTTGTGATGATGGGTTTCCTTTAACCAGTTTCCACCTCCCTCCCCTAGATTTCAATGAGCAGTTCTGTACCACTTCTATGACGACTTTATATAGTACGTTGATTTGAATCGGAACAATAATCAACACAAATCCCTATATTTTGTCCATGTGGATAAAACCAAAGTGCTTGAGGGTCACTTCCTCACCTCTAGAGTAGTTGTCTTTCAGATTCCCATGTCGTTATAAAACCCCTCGGGGGTGTGGCCAAGTTTCTTAACTGGCTGGCTTTCTCCTCCCCTCCATCCTGTTGGGAGATTTTCCTGAGTAGTCATCAGCCATTGCCCACAGGGCTCACTTGCAAATACAGTAAATCCTTGGATTGTGAGTAACTTGTTCTGCGCGTATTCCGCAAGACAAGCGAACATTTCTAATACGTTTTAACCTGATACACAAGTGATGTCTTGCAATACGAGTAGTACATGATGCCGAATGTCATATGATCGCAACTGAGCCAATGGTCCTTGCAGTTCGGTTTGATGTACGACTGCTTTGGATGACAACCATGATTCTGGAGCAAATTATGCTCACAAACCAAGGCATTACTGTCATTGCTTTGGCGTGTGCACAAAGTTTTTAAAAAGATACATTTTTTTCCCCTAATCAAAGAGAGATGGCTGATGGCTGGTGATCCTTCTCGAAAGGTAACCCAAGCACCATGATGGAAGAGCCGTAAAGGGTCCTGTGGTGTTTGGAAAGAGTTTCTGTGCTTCTCTGGGGCCACACGTGACCCTCAGGCTATGAAGCGAGGAAAGGGGAGGAGGGCTGTCAGGAAAAACGAACGTAAAGAGATCACAGTTTCCACAGAAGCAGAGAGTTTTGTCTGATCAGAGCAGAATAACCTGATGACCTGAACCTGGCTTTACTGCCAGAATGCGCTGGAATGGAGTGCCGTCTCCAACCCGCCCAGGGGTGACCTCGGGCAAGCAGACTGTGAGCCTTCACCTGCTCATCTATAGAATGGACTTAGATACACTTCCCTCATAGGATTGTTGCAGAAATCAGTGAAAAAACAATCATCTAAAACGCTTATCATTGTCCCTGACACATAGAAACTCCATAAACGCTCTGCAATTTTCATCATCTACTATTCTGAGTTCTGCACGTTGCCAACTTCTGTTTTTGAACAGATATCCCCTTATCTCCCTTGTCCGCATTTCCAGGGTTTTACTATTTCTTCAGTGGATCTTCGCAGTTGGAGTTTGACCCCAACGCAAAGAAAGTGACACACGTGTTGAAGACCAACAGCTGGTTGAACTGTTGACGTGTCTAGAAGCACCACGTGGGCATTTGAAGGGAAGCCGATGATTCTTCACCTGAGTCTCTGTGAACCGACACGGTTCGCTTCCTGGTCAGCCTCCCCTATGACGGGCCCTTCGAGCAGGCTGCTCGGCGCGCACTCGGGTCACACGGAGCAGCTTCCCCAGGGGAAGGGAGAGCACTCGTGTGCGAGACGACTGACTGTATATAGACTGTTTGCTTGTTATTTAATAAAGACGATCAGCCAGTTGCTTTATTGTTTCGTTTGCTTCGAGAATGAGTCGTCCTCACAATCTTGGGTGGGGTAGGGGCGAAACAGAAGGCAGCCTGAGATCCTTGGCCAGTGGTGTCAGTACTAGGGTCTCCATGGCGGCAGCCTCACCACGAGCCCATCCCGAACTGAAGACAATGTGCCCCTGGTGTTCCACGAAGAGGTGTCCCTATGTCCACCCCCCAGACGTCGTATGTGTTCCTGCTATACCCCAGGAGAAGGATCTAGGGAAGTGATCTTGCAGGGAAGGCTCTAGAGAAGATTGTGAAGCGGGGTCCTACGGTTAGCACAAGTCACCTCGTTCGTGCACTTTATTTTTCAGGTGGAGAAAATCCAACACACCCGCTCTTCATCTTTTCCTTTGACGTATCTGTTCCCTCCGTGGAGCCCCTTTGCCTGACCTCGTGGTCTGCTCATGTCCACCCACACATGAAAGTATCCTCTTGTACTCATTTTGTGGCTGTCTGTGCGAGAAGTCCACGGGCAAATGCTTATCCTGAGGTAGATTTATTGCCCCTAAGTGGCATGTCTGGGCAACCACACAGTAAGAGCGTACTCACACTTTAACTTGCTCATTGGGGAATAATTTGTCGATCATATTCCGTGTGCCAGGCACTGTGCTGGGTTGTAGGCATCGGGATCTCAGAAAATGGACACAGCCCTGCCCTCATCAAGATTATAATCCGGCAAGAAAAAATATAGGCAGATAGCCACAAACATGTACATGCAACCATCAATGTAATAAAAGTCATAAAGGAAAACCATCGGTGTCTTTGACAGAATAATAGGGAGACCTACTCTGTTTTGGGCTGCTTTGAACGTTTGAGGGAATGGCACTGGGGAGGTTTTGAGGGAGGTGTGAAACCGGGTGAGGGGATCGTGGCTGGGACTGAAGCGGTCACACTGCAGAGTCAGACAAGAATACGGAAGAGAGCAGGACTTCACGATGGGGCTGAGAAGAGAAGTAATTCCCAGATGGCCTCCGAGAGCCTAAGGACAAATGTCACAGATGGCAGCAGCTTTGCTGAGGTGGGGGACGACTTGGAGACGCACAGCTTTGTGAGGAAAAGGTAAGAATTGGGAAGAGTTGCTTAGGTTTTCCAAGTTTTGAAATGTCCGCGAGATATCCAGGTAGGCCATGACATAAGGAGTCTACATTGGAAAGAGGAGGCACAGTGACTGTGGGACGTGATGGGTGTGGACCACACCCACGGTGGTGACCATTTTGTAACATGGACATGTATGGAGTCTTCACCTCACGCACCTAAAATGAGTGCAATGTCGTATGTCGATTGTATCTCAAATTAAAAATAGATCTACCCTATGACCCAGCAATAGCACTGCTAGGAATTGACCCAAGGGATACAGGAGTGCTGATGCACAGGGCACTTGTAACCAGTGTTTATAGCAGCACTTTCAGCAATGGCCAAATTATGGAAAGAGCCTAAATGTCCATCAACTGACGAATGGATAAAAAAGATGTGGTTTATATATACAATGGAATACTACTTGGCAATGCAAAAGAATGAAATCTACCCATTTGTAGCAACGTGGATGGAACTGGAGAGTGTGATGCTAAGTGAAATAAGTCATACAGAGAAAGATACCATATGTTTTCACTCTTATGTGGATCCTGAGAAACTTGACGGAAGGCCATGGGGGAGGGGAAGGGGGAAAAAAAGTTACAGAGAGGGAAGGAGGCAAACCGTAAGAGACTCATAAAAGCTGAGAATAAACTGAGGGTTGATAGGGGGTGAGGGAGAGGGGAAAGTGGGTGATGGGCACTGAGGAGGGCACCTGTTGGGATGAGCACTGGGTGTCGTATGGAAACCAATGTGACAATAATTTCATGTTAAAAAAAAAAGGGGGAGGTATAAATATACGGATTGTCAGCATTTAGATCCTCCTTAAAACCATGAATACAAAAGAGACTACATGTGAGATTGCATTTTGCTAGGAATTGAGCATTTCTTTATCTCAAAATCACCTGAATTTATTCATTTTTCTTTTTTCTTTTCTTTCCCTTTTTTTTTTTTTTTTTTTTTTTTTTTTTTTTTTTTTTTTTTGCAGGGTCCTATGTGGTCACAACACAATTCCAAAAGGTAGAAAACTGCAGAGTTAACCTTTCTCACACCCATCACCAACAGCTAGTGCATTTTCTCTGAGACCACCACGGAGAGCTATTATGACCCGGCCCCTGCCCTCATCGAGATTATAGTCCAGCAAGAAAGAGCTCATGCAAATAACCACAGGCACGTACACGCAGCTTTCAGAGCTGTTTTGTAGAGACTCAAACATCAGCACTGTCTCTTGAAACTAAAATGGTGGCGTGCAAATTCGCACTGCTGTTTGCTATGTTCACTTAACGCATCTTGGCAACCATTCCACACAAGTACATGCTTCATCCTCTCGCTGGCCGCCGTCTATGACATAAACACGTAATTTGTGTATTCAGTCCCCTCTCGGTGACTAAATCAATACTTCAATAAATGCATACATCGAAGAAATGAAATTTAAAAATACAACGTCATCAAAAGTGAAGAAAATAAATATAGCTGACATAAATAGAAATATTCAATCAGGAAAATAATTTAATGATATATAAAATATACATTTGAAAAATATACTTGAATATAATTTGTTTGAAATCAAAAATAGAAAATGCATCAAATAAAATTATGTGGACGCGTAGATTATTTTCGGCTGGCGACGTATCAGTAGGTTATTTTCAATATTTTACTGTCCTTCCCATACATGTACTTGCGCATCTGGTGAAAAAGTCAGCCTCCAAAGCCTGCGCAGAGAGGGAGGAACAGGGGGCCTGGTTGGGGGGGGGTCTCCACCCTGCAGGTCGCTGCACCCCATCTACTCCAGCAGTGCGGGTGCAGCGATGAAGCTGAATGCTGGCTGAAAGGGCACAAACATTGGCAGGTTGGGATGCCTTGGGTTATAGGTAGCAGTAACTGCCGACTGGCTTAAAAATAAGAGAGTTTATCAAAAAGACAAAAGAAGAGTGTTGGTGAGGGTGTGAAGAAAGGGAATCCGTTGTGCAGCGGTGGGGGTGCAAACGGGTGCAGCCGCTGCGGAAAACAGTGTGGAGGCTCCTCAAGAAGTTCAAAATAGAACTACCTTACCATCTCTACTATGTTACCACACTACAGTCCAGCAAATCCACTTCCGGGTGTGTATCCCAAAGAATGAAATCAATATTTCAAAGAGATATCTGAATTCCCACCGTCCTTGCAGCATGAGTCACGATAGCCAGCACAGAAATAGCCTAGGTGTCCTCTGATGGATGATTGGATAAAGAAAATGTCATATGTATACACAATGGGATACTATTTTTTTTTAGTTTCTATTTTGTTTGAGAGAAAGAGAGAGAGCACGTGCACAAGTCGGGGAGAGGGGCAGAGGGAGAGGGAAAGAGGGCGGGCTCAGCATGGAGCCCGACGCGAGGCTCAATCTCACAACCCTGGGATCGTGACCTGAGCTGAAATCAGAGTCAAAGTGCAAAAATCAACGAACTGAGTTGCTGCTCAACTGACTGAGCCACCCGGGCACCCCTACAATGGAATATTATTAAGCCCTAAAAAAAAAAAAAAAAAAAAAAAAAAAAAAAAAAAAAAGGAGATTCTGCCATTTACGACAACAGGGATGAAACTCAAGGACATTATGCTAAGTGAAATCCGGCGGACAGAAAAACACAAACACTGCATAATCTTACTTAGATGTGAAATCAGAAAAAAAAATAATTGTCAACCTCATAAAAGCAGAGAGAAGAATGGTGATTGCCAGGGACCAAGGGGGTGGAGGAAATAGGGAGATTTTGGTGAGGGGATAGAAAATTTCGGTTATGTGAGACGAATAGGTTCCGGAGAGATGAGGTACCACATGGTGACCACAGCTACTAACTCCGTATTGTAGACTTGAAATTTGCTGAAGGTAGATCCTCACTGTTCTCACCACACAAACCCACAATAAAAGGTGACTCTGTGAGGTGGTGGATGTGTTGATTAGCTTGACCGTAGTGATCCTTTCACGATGTGTACAAATATGCAAACACCGTGCTGTATATATACCTTAAATATACAGCATTTTTATTTGTCAGTCATACCTCACGACAACTCGGGAAAAATGTTAAGAAGTAAAACAAAGTAAAAATAAAAGAGCTTGAGGACTCACATTACTTAAAAGCACAGCAGTCGTGGAGATGGTGGCTTCGCTGCGATTGTGGCCCCAGCTCCCTCCCCGCACTCTGGTCCCCCTGCTGGCCGGCGGGTGAGCCACACCTTCACCCTGGTGCTCCTCAGGGTGGGGGGTGACGCCTGTGATAGCTCCCCGGGCGTCAGACCTCCCGCCATTAAGCAAGCTGACCACAAACCACACTGCTGAGCCGCCCCTGTTTGGATCTTTTGTAATGGTGGGGTCATCCCGTAACGGTCACCGTGGTGAAGAAGAGCCATCTCACCCAGCCACGGTGCCGCAGCAGTGGGGTCGGGGGAGACACTGAGGCAGAAATCTCTGTCCATCCACCACAAAGAGGCTTGCACAGGTGAGAAAGTGGAAGCACTACGTACAGATAATGCTTCGAAGTTGGGCTGGGAGAGAGGGAAACAATACACATGTTCCTTGTCCTACCAGACCCGATTCACATCCTTCTGCGTGTCTTTGCTGGTTTGGGGAACTGGAACCAAGCAACTGTTCGTTTGCTGAACGCCTGGATTTTCCAGGCA